CCCATAGTGCGGAGAATACGATGACACTCCTTAAGAAAACCTAGAGCATCATCTGAAGCTAGTCCGCTGAAAGTAAGTGGGTGGTACTTCTTGTACCTCTCAAGTCTGAGCTGCTCTGTCTCAGAAGCAGCTACCCTAGTCTCTTGCTAAAACAGAGCCACTGGGGTCATAGAAATATACTCTAGGGCTTGATTAACCTGGACCCTCTGCTCAGGAGTGCGGGTTGCGGGAGTCTGTGCCCCTCCCCCGACCTGAGATGTAGCGAGAGCTATCGGAAATAGTCCAGCCTGAGCTAGAGTGCTGAACATGCTCATGAACTGAGCTAAAGACTCCTGGATGGCTGGAGTAGTAATAAGGATCTCCGGTGCGGGCCCTCCAGCTAGAGCTGCTGGGGGATCCTCTGACATAGCTCTCGCAGGTGCTCGGGCAGCACTGCGTGGTCGTCCTCTACCCCGACCCCGACCTCTGGCGGCCCTGGCAGGGGGCTCGGGTGCCTGATCGTCGGTCCTCCTAGTACAGGTCCTTACCATCTATGAGAAAGAATAGAATAGAATTATTTTAGAATTTTTGATGTCAACAACTCGCACGACAAGGAAATCAAAGAAATATGATTGTTCTTAAGAGTTACATAGCCTCCCGAAGATAAGTACGGACGTCTCCGCACCGATCCGTGAGACTCTAATAAACCGGCTTGTGACTCGCGACTCCTATGAACCTAGTGCTCTGATACCAACTTGTCACGACCCAAATAAATCCTCCGTAAGGTGTCGTGACGGCACCTAGTCTTTACGACTAGGTAAGCCTAATATTATGAAAAATGTAAAGAAAATACAACATTTTAAAAATAAACAGCATATTGTGAATAACTAAAAGTAGTACCACTCGGCATATACAAAATAATTTTCCAAGACCCGGAATATCACTAAGTCACAAGCTGCTATAATTTATGTAGCTCTATACAGAAGTCTGAACATAATAAAGAAAGTCTCTAGGCGAGGGAATAGAAGGAGACTCTGAGGATCTGCTGACGCAAGCAGAAGTACCTTGAAATCTCCTAGAATCAGCAGCACACACTAACCCCGAGGCTGATAGCTCGTACATGAATCTGCATACGAAAACATGTGCAGGAAAGGGCATGAGTACACCACAATGGTACCTAGTAAGTTCCAAGCCTAGTCTCGGTAGAGTAGTGACGAGGTCGGGTCAAGGCCCTACCGGAGTAAATATAATAAATTAAATAGTAAAAGATATAAGTAAAGTTTACGGTAACAAAATTAAAGAAATTCTCGAAAATTTAACAGTTAAGGGAACCCTCGTCTCAGAACAAGGTAAACACAAAGTGGAATCTCCCGGGATACCGTCCCGTAGTTCCGAATGAATATGCAGTACAAGGAGATCTCCCAGAATACGTACGTAGTCCCAAAGTAAATATGCAGTGCTTGGGGATCTCCCGGAATATGTCCGTAATTCCAAAATAAATATGCAGTGCTGGGGGATCTCCCGGAATATGTCCGTAAACACAAATAAATATACAAGACAGTGGGATCTCCCAGAATATGTCCGTAGTCCCAATTTAAATATGCAACGCAAGATGAAATGACAGGTATGGCATCGAGTTATATAATTTACACTGAACACAGATAAGGAAAGTAGGGACTTAACTAAGCATGACACACAGAATATCAAATATGCAGTTGAAACACGTAAGCATGCTTCTTTAATATAATATAAATAATTAAACTTATTAGTGCAATTTAATAAGGGAAAACAGTTTATGATTTAGAAAGAAAAAACGGGATTTTTTCAATAATAGCCCGTGTACGTACTCGTCACCTCACGTACAGGACGCCTACACATTAATTAATATCAAACATCTTAAGGGAAAAGTCCCCAACACAAGGTTAGGCAAGCCACTTACCTCGCCCGCTCGAATCAACTTGATATCACGTTCTTGCCACGAGTATCCGACTCCAAATGACCAGAATCTATTCAAATTAATTGCATGATGTAAATATAACTACAAGTAACTAATTTAACTAATTAATTCGAAGCTAAAGCATGAAATTAGGAAAAACGCCCAAAAGGTCTCCCCGGGACCACGTCTCAAAATCGGGTAAAAATTACAAATTATGAACACCCATTCACTCACGAATTCACTCGAACAAAAATCATCTAAATCCGACGTCAAATTCCCATTCAAATCTCAAAATTTAATTGGGGAACCTTTTTCCCCATTTCCAAAGTTTTACCCTCAAATTCCTTAATTAGACAAGGAAAACAACAATAGATTAATGAAATATACACGAATTAGAGTTAAGAATCGTTATCCACTTATTTCCTTTTCACAACCCTTGCAAAAATCGCTTTCTCCCGAGCTAAAATTCGAATTGGTGAAAAATAAGGAATGAACCCTCGAATTTGCTTCTTCAACCCAGCGATTTTCGCACCTGCGGTCACGCACCTGCGGAAAAAATCATCGCAGGTGCGAAGGTCACTTATCCGGGTTGGGGCCGCATTTGCGGGCATTTCTCGCACCTGTGGTCCATACGGCGCATCTTCGCATTTCGTTTAAGTGCCAGGTTCCGCACCTGCGCCCACGCTTCGCACCTGCGGGCTCGCAGGTGCGGTCAAACTTGCGCACCTGCGCTCCATCACTAGCCTCCCCAATTCCGCATTTGCGCACTCCCTCCGCACCTGCGGTCTCCTTTCCGCAGGTGCAAAACACCAGAACCAATAAAGGCACTAGATTTTCCTAAGTCCAATATTCATTCCGTTAAGCATCCGAAACATACCCGAGGCCTCCGGGACCTTAACCAAACCTACCAACCAATCCTATAACACCATACGAACTTATTCGAGCCTTCAAACCACATCGAACAACACCAAATACATGAATTAAGCATGGATTCAAGCCTAAGAACTTAGAATTTTCCAAAATCTACAAACGACGTCGAACCACGTCAAATCTAGTCCGAATGACCTCAAATTTTACATACAGGTCACAAATGACATTACGAACCTACAGCCACCTCCGAAATTCTATTCTGAGCTCGATGTAAAAAATTTCACTATCGGCCCAAATCGCCGTAAATCTAACTTCTGCCAATTCAAGCCTAAATCTACTACAAACCTCCAAAACACATTCCGGACGCGCTCCTAATCTCAAAATACTCAACGGAGCTAACGGAGTCGACGGAATTCCATTCCGGATCTGTTTTCACACAGTTCCGACTACGGTCTAATTTCTAAGACTTAAATTCACCACTAGGGACTGAGTGTCCCAAAACTCCCCGAATTCCATAACCAATCACTCTGGCAAATCCCAAAAACAGAAACAAATGTGGGGAAAGCAAATATGAGGGGATCGGGGCTCTAATTGTCAAAACGACCGGCCGGGTCATTACATCCTCCCCCTTTTAAAACAACCGTTCGTCCTCGAACGAGTATAAAGACATACCTGAAACTGTGAAAAGATGAGGGTACAGGCTGCACATGTCCTGCTCGGTCTCCCAAGTCGCCTCTTTCACCGGCTGACCCCTCTACTAGACCTTTACTGAAGCAATATTCTTTGACCTGAGCTTTCTGACCTGCCTGTCCAAAATGGCTACTGGCTCCTTAACATAAGATAGATCCTTGTCCAACTAGACTAAGCTGAAATCCAATACATGAGTCGGATCACCATGATACTTCCGGAGCATAGACACGTGGAATAGCGGGTGAACTCCTGCTAGGCTGGGAGGCAAGGCAAGCTCATAAGCAACCTCCTCAACTCGCCGCAATATCTCAAAAGGACCAATGAACCTCGGGCTCAGCTTGCCCTTCTTTCCGAATCTCATGACGCTCTTCATAGGTGATACCCGAAGCAGGATCCGCTCACCAACCATAAATGCCAAATCACGAACCTTACGGTCCGCATAACTCTTCTGCCTGGACTAGGCTGTGCGAAGTCTCTCCTGAATCACCTTCACCTTATCCAGGGCATCCTGGACCAAATCTGTCCCCAACAATCAGGCCTCGCCCGACTCAAACCATCCCATTGGGGACCGGCACCGCCTATCATACAATGCCTCATACGGTGCCATCTGAATGTTGGACTGGTAACTGTTGTTGTAAGAAAACTCTACAAGTGGCAAGTATTGGTCCCATGACCCTCCGAACTCCATCACATAGGCACGAGGCATTTTTATTGAAAAATGCATATTTGAAAGATTTATACTTGAAGTACTTACATTGGAAAGACGTATATTTGAGGGACTTGATTGATTAGTTGTATTTGTGTTTCTTATTCGTTTGAGCAATATTTATAGTGTTCTTGTTGTCTTGTTATTTATATCATTTATTTATTCTTGTTGCCATCGTTGCCATTTGTTTCTATTATTATTATTATTATTATTATTATTATTATTATTATTATTATTATTATTATTATTATTATTATTATTATTATATACTGCTACACTGCATAGGTTAATTGATTAGTGAGTGTCTTGACTGTACATTGTCACTACTCCACCGAGGTTACTCTTGATACTTACTGGGTACCGACTGTGGTGTACTTATACTACACTTCTGCACATTTTTGTGCAGAGTCAGGTATTGGAGATATCGGACTCGGACATAGTTAGAGTGCGATCGCAAGGATTCAATGTAGAGCTGCTTGGTCGTCGCAGTCCCTTGGAGTCTTTCCATTTTATCGTACTGTCAATTATTATTCGAACAATATTATATATTCAATTTTCTTGAGATCATTTCATGTATTCAGTTAGAGTTCGTGACTCAATATTACCAGTCTTGGGTGATTGTATCATTATTTTCGTTGTTGGTTTCGATTATCTATTTATAAAAAAAATATGGCTTGGATTGTTATTATGATCGGCTTATTTAGTCATAGAGACTAAGTACCATCACGACCCCTGTGGTGGAATTTTGGGCCGTGACAAAATAATAGAAATATTAAAGTATGTTAGTGGAACTCTATATAATTGAAATGTGAAACTCACGCTGATCTGTGGATTGCACTGCCATCTGCCCATAATTTGTTAAACCTCCAAACAAATCCAGCAAAATGTTGCCAATACTAAACCCAATTGTGCTTTTTCGCCGAAAATTCATAACAGCCTATAGATTTTTACAGAGCTAAAAACTTTAATTCAGGAAGCATCAGAAGGAAACAGATAGTATAAACATATCACAAAATCTTGTAATTTGAATAGAAGAGAACAAAATCACAAGTAATTCATATAGAAGTCTGAGTTTATTCCCTTCAAACAGAGCAACAATTACATGGGGAATATACTTAATTACTGTCATAACAACCTGCAATGTGCTGCAATTAAGATATAGAAGTGTGAGAATTTATTGTTATAGTGGTTAAATGGATAAAGTACTGTTACCTTAACTTGACCAAACAAACAAATTTATTTTTATTGTTATGAATTTTTTTAAACATGAAGAAAAGGGTGTTAAGTAGAACTAATTGTGGATTTAAAAGAAAGTGGCTTACTTGAAGCAGGAAACTAGAAATAGCCAAGAGTATTTAGGGAAAGCCACAAAAATACAAACTGCAACACTCAACCAAGAAACAGTGACAATTGCAATAGCAGTTTTTGGGACCTTCTGATTTCCACGCTGTAAAAAGAAATATGTATTGTTTATTAGCACCAAGTCATAAACTCACATTTCAGTATGCACATAATATTTGAGCTGAAAATAGTAAAAAAAAAAAAGAATGGTATACTTACATCATAAATAGCAATATGATATAAGGTAAATGTTATTAAAGCAGCAGCATGAGTAGAGAAAGTCACGTCATTGGCAGCTACAAGTATCATCTGAAATTAAACAATGAAGGTAATCAACAGTTCAACACATTAGTCATTAAGTTCACTATAAAACATAGTATCAACTTAATATGAAGAAATAAAATAGAAGGAAAGTTTGTGATTTTAGTCCATCAAATATCTAAAAATATTTATTTTGATCCTCGTGATATTTAGTTAAACATATATAGCCTTCTATTAATTAATCAAATTGTGCACTTTTACTTCCAATACTTATACATCATAGGTTTAGTGAACTCTATATAATTGAAATGTGAAATTCACGTTGATCTATGGATTGCACTGCCATCTGCCCATAATTTCTTAAACCTTCAAACAAATTCAGCAAAATGTTGCCAATACTAAATCCAATTGTGCTTTTTTGCCGGAAATTCATAACAGCCTATAGATTTTTACAGAGCCAACAACTTTAATTCAGGAAGCATCAGAAATAAACAAATAATATAAACATATCACAAAATCTTGTAATTTGAATAGAATAGAACAAAATCACAAGCAATTCATATAGAAGTCTGAGTATTTTTCTTTTAAACCGAGCAACAATTACCTGGGGAATGTACTTAATTACTGTCATAACAAATATCTAAAAAGATTTATTTCAATCCTCGTGATATTTAGTTAAACATATATAGCCTTCTATTAATTAATCAAATTGTGCACTTTTACTTCCTATACTTATACATCATAGGTTTAGTGTCACGACCCAAAAATTCTAACCAGTCGTGATGACGCCTATCTCGATACTAGTCAAGCCGACAATCTCAACAAATCACAATTTCTTTTATGTATGAAAATATAATATTTAAACATAACTCACAAATCTAGCAAATACCGATACAAACACTCCCAAAACCTGGTGTCACTGAGTACATGAGCATCTGATATGAATACAAATCTGAAAAATACGTTTCATAACAGTTTGACATCAAATACAATAAATAAGGAGATAGGGAAGGAGAGACAAGGTTTGCGAAACACGGTAGCTACCTCTGAATCTCCGAAAAATCAATTGTGCAAAAGAATCAACACCCGCTATGTTTGGGAACACCTGGATCTGCACACGAAGTGCAGGGTGTAGTATGAGTACAACCAACTCAGCAAGTAACAATAATAATTAAGGAACAGAAGATAGTGATGAGCTACACAGTTATAGTTCACTTTCAGTAATTCCAGCAAAGAATAGACATGCTTTCAAATCCAACAGTTTAAGTCAAATTAATTTTATATAGTTCAAGTTCATGTAATCCGGATATAAAATCTTTCAAAGAATTTCACAACAATGACAGATAACAACTAAGTGCAACAACAAATGAAAAGCAAGTACAGCCTCTCAGAGAAACAGTCACTCAACTCGTCACAACATCTCAACAACTCGACTCTCAGCCCTCAACACTCACACACAATAGGTACCCACACTCACTGGAGGTGTACGGACTCCAGAAGGGCTCCTACAGCCCAAGCGCAATAATCCACATGGATAACTCACGTGCTGCACGAATAACTCACATGCTATATTATCAATATCTGAATTCGCACGGACAACTCACGTGCTGCACGAATAACTCACATGCTATATTATCAATATCTGGATCCGCACGGACAACTCACGTGCTGCACGAACAACTCACATGCTATAGTATAATATCTGGATCCGCACGGACAACTCACGTGCTGCACGAACAACTCACATGCTATAGTATAATATCTGGATCCGCACGGACAACTCACGTGCTGCACGAACAACTCACATGCTATAGTATAATATCTGGATCCGCACGGACAACTCACGTGCTGCACGAACAACTCACATGCTATAGTATAATATCTGGATCCGCACGGACAACTCACGTGCTGCACGAACAACTCACATGCTATAGTATAATATCTGGATCCGCACGGACAACTCACGTGCTGCACGAACAACTCACATGCTATAGTATAATATCTGGATCCGCACGGACAACTCACGTGCTGCACGAACAACTCACATGCTATAGTATAATATCTGGATCCGCACGGACAACTCACGTGCTGCACGAACAACTCACATGCTATAGTATAATATCTGGATCCGCACGGACAACTCACGTGCTGCACGAACAACTCCCGTGCTATAGTATAATATCTGGATCCGCACGGACAACTCATGTGCTGCACGAATAACTCACATGCTATAATAATATCTCACAATCAGGCTCTCGGCATCACTCAGTCATAAATCTCTCCAGTCTCTCGGGCTCTCAGAAATCATGAAATCAGCCCAAACAACAATGATATGATGCATCAATAATGAACAATAGAGACTAAGATAAAATAAACAAGTAAACTGTGACTGAGTACAGAACAACCATTAAGTAGATAGTTCAACATGTACACGACCTCTGTAGGTCCCTACAATGCTAACATATAATCTAGACATGATTTCTAACATGACTTACAGTCAAATTTCCACAACACAGAGAGAACAAATAGCTAACAACAAGTTATTCAACTTTACAGTTTCACGGGACGGACCAAGTCACGATACCCTCGGTGCACGCCCACACGCCCGTCACCTAGCATGTGCATCACCTCCAAAGTAATCAAATGATACCAAATTCTGGGGTTTCATACCCTCAGGACCAAATTTAAAACTATTACTTACTTCAAACCGTGAAATTCTTATTCCGCTAAGCCTTTGCCTCGTGAATTTGCCTCCAAACGTCTCGATCTAGTCATAAATAATTCGATTCAGTCAATAAAATTTATTGGAATTAATTACATAAGAAAATACTAATTTTCCATAGAAATCCGAAATTTAGCTCAAAAATTACCGTCTCGGAACCCGATAAAAGTTACTAAATCCTAAAGCCCATTCAACCATGCGTCTAACCATACTAATTTTACCAAAATCTAACCTCAACTCGACCTCCAAATCTTCAAATCTTATTTTCAAATCTCTAAGTTCAAACCCCCGATTTACACCTCATAAACATGTAATCTAGTCGGATTATTCGATGATAATTCAATATTATGGAGTAGAAATAATTACAAGAGACCTACCTCAAGATTTCCCGTGATTTATCGCTCAAAAATAGCCTCACCTTCTTTTGGAAATGTCAAAAATGACAAAATCTCGGACTCCTCTGTTTTTAGCATTTTGTCCAGGATTTTCGCACCTACGGCTCCATTTCCGCATATGCAGTCAAAGCTCCGCATCTGCGGAAAAATCACTTAAGCCTGCCTCTGCTTCTGCGATCAAGGGACCGCATCTGCGACCTCGCAGATGCGTCAAAATCTTCGCACCTGCGCAACTTGCCCTGCCCTTCACTCCTGGATGCTTCTACGATGGTCCTTGCGCACCTGTGGTATCGCACGTGCGATCAAAGCTTCGCAGGTGTGGTTACACGAGAAGCAAAATTTCCAAATTTTCCTAAGTCTAAAATTTTGATCCGTTTACCATCCGAAACTCACCCGAGGCCCTCGGGACCTCAACCAAATACAGCAACAAGTCCTAAAATATCATACGAACTTAGTGGAATCTTCAAATCGCATCCAACAACACTAAAAATACGAATCACACATAGATTCAAGTCTAATGAACTTTGAAGCTTCCAATTTCTACAAACGATGCTGGAACCTATCAAATCACGTCCGATTGACCTCGAATTTTGCACACAAGTCATAAATGACATAATGGAGGTATTCCAATTTTCAGAATCAGATTTCGATCCCGATATCAAAAATGTCAACCCCCGGGTCAAACTTCCCAAAAATTCGACTTTCGCCATTTTAAGCCAAATTCCACTATGGACCTCTAAATAATTTTCCGGACACGCTCCTAAGTCCAAAATCACCATACAGATCTATTGGAATTATCAGAATTTGAATCCGTAGTCATTTACACATAAGTCCGCATCCGATCAATTGTTTCTAACTTCAATTTTCAATTATGAGACTAAGTTTCTCACTTCACTCTGAATTCCTTCCGGACCCAAACCAACTAACCCGGTAAGTCATAAAACAACTGCAAAGAATAAATTGAGAAGTAAATGGGGGAACGGGGTTATAATACTCAAAATGACCGGCCGGGTTGTTACATTCGCCCCCTCTTAAACAAACGTTCGTCCTTGAATGGGTTTAGAATCATACCTAGAGTCTCAAATAGGTATGGATAGTTGTTCCGCATCTCCTGCTCAATCTCCCAAGTAGCTTCTCCGACTGGATGGCCTCTCCACTGTACCTTCATTGATGCTATGTTCTTTGACTTCAGCTTTCGAACCTGCCGGTCTAAACTAGCCACCGACTCCACATCATAAGTCAAATTACCGTCCAACTGTATTGTACTGAAATCCAAAATATGAGACAGATCCCCGACATACTTTAGGAGCATGGATACATGGAACACTGGATGAACACCTGATAGACTAGGTGGCAAGGCAAGTTCATAAGCCACACCTCCAATTTTCTTAAGTATCTCAAAAGGCCCAATAAACCGAGGGCTCAACTTTCCCTTCTTCCCGAACCTCAACACACCCTTCATGGATGAAATCGTGAGTAGAACCTTCTCCCCAACCATATGAACAACATCACGAACCTTCCTGTCGGCATAAAGAGTCTAGATTGTGCCGTGCGAAGTCGTTCCTGAATTAGTTTGACCTTCTCTAAAGCATCCTGAACCAAGCCAGTACCCAATAGCCTAGCCTCACCCGGCTCAATCCAACCCACAGGGGACCGACACCGTCTCCCAAACAAAGCCTCATACGGAGCCATCTGAATACTCGATTGGTAGCTATTATTGTAAGAAAA